CATAACTTTCATATTATATATATATATATATATATATATATATATATAAAAAGCTGAAGTTTATTATGTATCATAATGTGATTTCAATTAATGATCCAAACCAGTAGTAAAAATTATCTGTTAATCTAGCCCATGCAAATCTGCCTTTGAATATATTTGACATATTACTTGTAAATGATAGAAATAGGCCTACATTTAATATAAGGATTATACAAAATATTTATGGCCCACCTATCTACAACTTATGTGCAATTTATCTTGCCAATCAAGTTTACACACCAGTGATCTAAACAATTGTTACAATTAAGTTTTATTTTATCAACTTAAAGTACAATTTTTTATAATTATACTTTAAGCTGACTTAAAGAGGAAGTAATGATATGTTGTGTGTGGCATTAACAAAAATTATAATTAAAGTTGATTTCAATTATAATTTCTTTTATAATTAATGATTTATTAATCATAAGATGCAGTTTTTAAATTTATTGTAAACTTGTTAGATAAGAAATTATGAATTAGAATTAAAGCTGCAAAAATTAAAATATTAAAATAAAAAATATAAATTTTGAATATTGTTGCATATTAATATTTTGTTATTCTATATCATTCTGTTTTTAACTCATTTTTTCATAATCTTTATAATAATAAATGTATGCATTTTTGCACTGATGGTCCTAGTAAATGATAAATTAAATTAATAAATTAGAAATATTAAAAAATCTATATTATTTATTAGTAAGTTGATAGGATTTATTCATATGAAATAAGGTTTATTTTTTTATGTAATGAAAACAGAATATAATATCTCAGTATCACATAAAATTTTAAAAATGTTAAACATTCATTGCAATTTAGTTTTGCTTGTTTATAAATTATAAATATCATTTAGCACAATATTATCATTATTATGAATATTTCAAATTATTTAAAATATTAAACATTTAACAATTTTAAAAGATATAATATCATAGGTATGCTGTAAACCATGTGTTATGGAAATTATAATTTTATTTTATCATTATTTAATTTTTATTTTAAGAACTTCTTTCTTTTCACGTATTATCTGATCGTCATTTATGTACAGTACAAGGCTTACAAGTAAAGAAATAAAATGAATTTGAAGAATTTGTTAGAAGATTTTTAAAATAAATTTTGAATTAAATAATTTAAATAAACTTGTATAGAATCTTATAGTAAATTGTTCAAATTCATTTCCTCTATACAATTGTTAGAGATTGACAGTTGTGTTGTTATATTTTGAATACTTTTGTTAAACTAATTTGATATTCTAATTATTTGATAATTAAAACAATAATTTAAAGTTTTAAAACAATACAGATATATTTTTGTATTCTTTTTTGATGATCTTTTATACATAGTAAAAATTTAAATGACAATATTCTTTTATTAAAGGTAAATAACATTGAAACACAGTGATGCCTCGTACTTTAAATTTAATCCATTCCAGGAGGCTGTTTGAACTTCGAATCACTTGAAACTTGAATAAATTTTTCCCATTAGAAATAATGGAAAGTCAATTAATTCCAGATGCTAAACAATTTCCATTTTGATAAACTTAAAACAACAAATTCACATAATTTAGGTAAAAATAACACAATTAAATTCTCTAATAATAAATTAAAACATGAAAACATTAAATAAAATATGTGAATACTGCATAGTAAATTGAAAATTTCATTTACTGGTCACACATTGTTGTCTTTAGTGTCTTAAACATGGCCACTCACTTTTATGCTTCACAATAAGTTCCTTTTTCATCTCAATTACTAATATTACAGCCTTTCTCATAGACTTCATTACTTTCATACATTTCTCAGATCAGATGCCACGGTTAATAGATAAAGGTAGGTTGGGTTAAACAGAAAATTTTTGCATATTTTTAACAGCTGTCATTAACTTAGTTATATGATTTAATTATAATAGTTATTTAACATGCTATTGCTAATCTGAGATTGTAATCTTTGTCTAGAAGCTTATTTTAAACTTCACATCTTATCTGAATCTTATCTTATCAAGTCAAAATGTCTTCAAATAAAAAGCATATCAGGCCTATTAAGAGTTTCAGAAAGGATATGATGACATACAAACAGTAAACAAAATTCACAATGTGCATGGGGATGATGCTCCCAAACTTTGAATGTGTCAAATATGGTTTAAAAAGTTCTGTTCAGGAAATTTTAAACCAAATGATACAAAATGTATGGAGGGGTCTCAAATCTGTGAATGAAGAAAAATTAAAGGAGCAAATTGTTAAAAATTGATGAACAACACACAATATAAACAAACACATCAAAAATAAAATGAGAAAAAGCACTGAAAACATATGAGCATAACCCAAGAGCGAGAGACAACTTGTGTGCTCAACAAATTGTTTGTATGCTTCAAGCACATTTTTCACTGCATTTGCACTTTGAACTCCAAGGTAAATTTTAGTAGAATTTATTGTTCAAAGTTTGAGTTACCACATCATGTGAAAAAGTAATAAACTCTCCAATATGTGCAATATTAAAATTATTGATTTAAAAGAAATTAAAGATATATTGCCTTCAATTGTAAATTAATCTTTTAAATTACAGTAGTACCTCTTAGTTTGAATGCTTCAAGTTCAAAGGCAAGATTTGAGAAAACTTTGTCTTGGAGTTCAAACTGCACATACAGTTAAAAATTGTGTTTATGCTTCAAGCACAATCTATCATGTGTCCGAGTCATTTCTCACTCTCTCTTGCATTATGCTTGTATGTTTTCAGTGCTTTTTTGCATTATTTTTGGTGTGTAATTATATATATATATTGTATTGTGTGTTATTTGTTGATTTTTAACAATTTCTTCCTGCGACTGTTTTTTATCAACAGTTTTTGGGCACCCCATACATTTTGTATTCTTTAATTCAAAATAAACTTTTTAAACCACATTTAATATGCTCAAAGTTTAGGATCATCACCTCATATACATTATGAGTATTTTTTATTGTTTATTATATTCTTCGTGAAAGTCAAAAAGCATAATATGCTCAATATACCTTTTTATCTGAAGACATTACTTGATTTTATTTAAACAAATGTGAAATAGAGTTTAAAATAAGCATCTAAACAAAGAATACAATCTCATATTATTTATTAATGTGTTAAATTTCACAAATGTAATCAAATTACATGTATACATTAAGATGCCGATGTGGACTATGTGCAACCAATAAATTCAATTTTCATTTAATTATACAATACTGTATTTACAAATTTTTATTTATGATTTTCATGTTTAAATTTATTATTAGGACATTTAATTATGTTATTTTTTACCTTAAATTATATGTATTTGATGTTTTAAGTTTATCAAAATAGGTATTGTTTAGGGTCTGGGGATTGATTAACTTCTTTTCCATTATTTCTAAAGGGAAAAAATTCTTCAAACTTTGAATGAATTCTTGGAATGAATTAAATTTGAAGTATGAGGCATCACTATATTTTTAATTTCTAATTATGTATTTATAAAAACTTTGATATTTTCTTTTTTCGATTTATTTCTTAACATAAAAGATATTGAAAAAACAATGGAATATTTGGATTATTACATCCAGTTTTATAATGTTGCAAGAGAAGTTGAACCAATAATAAGAGATGGGTAAGATGTGTTTTAAAACTTTAATAAAAGTTTTCTGTAAATTGAGAAATTATAAAAAATTTTTGTTTAAATTTAGCCCTAGAGGATGCTTAACAACATATTTAGAAGCTATGGAAAAATTAGTGAAAGCCATTGAATTTTTTAAAAAGAACAATCCACATAAGCGACAATTGGAACAGCTGGTAAAAATATTTATTTTTCTTTCTTATGGGTTTTGCGTGGATTGTGTTTGAAGTTAATAAATATGTTTACTACTAAGTAGAATTACAATAAAAATTATAATGTATTAGTATAAATTAAAACATGAAAACATTAAATAAAATATGTGAATACTGCATAGTAAATTGAAAATTTCATTTACTGGTCACACATTGTTGTCTTTAGTGTCTTAAACATGGCCACTCACTTTTATGCTTCACAATAAGTTCCTTTTTCATCTCAATTACTAATATTACAGCCTTTCTCATAGACTTCATTACTTTCATACATTTCTCAGATCAGATGCCACGGTTAATAGATAAAGGTAGGTTGGGTTAAACAGAAAATTTTTGCATATTTTTAACAGCTGTCATTAACTTAGTTATATGATTTAATTATAATAGTTATTTAACATGCTATTGCTAATCTGAGATTGTAATCTTTGTCTAGAAGCTTATTTTAAACTTCACATCTTATCTGAATCTTATCTTATCAAGTCAAAATGTCTTCAAATAAAAAGCATATCAGGCCTATTAAGAGTTTCAGAAAGGATATGATGACATACAAACAGTAAACAAAATTCACAATGTGCATGGGGATGATGCTCCCAAACTTTGAATGTGTCAAATATGGTTTAAAAAGTTCTGTTCAGGAAATTTTAAACCAAATGATACAAAATGTATGGAGGGGTCTCAAATCTGTGAATGAAGAAAAATTAAAGGAGCAAATTGTTAAAAATTGATGAACAACACACAATATAAACAAACACATCAAAAATAAAATGAGAAAAAGCACTGAAAACATATGTGCATAACCCAAGAGCGAGAGACAACTTGTGTGCTCAACAAATTGTTTGTATGCTTCAAGCACATTTTTCACTGCATTTGCACTTTGAACTCCAAGGTAAATTTTAGTAGAATTTATTGTTCAAAGTTTGAGTTACCACATCATGTGAAAAAGTAATAAACTCTCCAATATGTGCAATATTAAAATTATTGATTTAAAAGAAATTAAAGATATATTGCCTTCAATTGTAAATTAATCTTTTAAATTACAGTAGTACCTCTTAGTTTGAATGCTTCAAGTTCAAAGGCAAGATTTGAGAAAACTTTGTCTTGGAGTTCAAACTGCACATACAGTTAAAAATTGTGTTTATGCTTCAAGCACAATCTATCATGTGTCCGAGTCATTTCTCACTCTCTCTTGCATTATGCTTGTATGTTTTCAGTGCTTTTTTGCATTATTTTTGGTGTGTAATTATATATATATATTGTATTGTGTGTTATTTGTTGATTTTTAACAATTTCTTCCTGCGACTGTTTTTTATCAACAGTTTTTGGGCACCCCATACATTTTGTATTCTTTAATTCAAAATAAACTTTTTAAACCACATTTAATATGCTCAAAGTTTAGGATCATCACCTCATATACATTATGAGTATTTTTTATTGTTTATTATATTCTTCGTGAAAGTCAAAAAGCATAATATGCTCAATATACCTTTTTATCTGAAGACATTACTTGATTTTATTTAAACAAATGTGAAATAGAGTTTAAAATAAGCATCTAAACAAAGAATACAATCTCATATTATTTATTAATGTGTTAAATTTCACAAATGTAATCAAATTACATGTATACATTAAGATGCCGATGTGGACTATGTGCAACCAATAAATTCAATTTTCATTTAATTATACAATACTGTATTTACAAATTTTTATTTATGATTTTCATGTTTAAATTTATTATTAGGACATTTAATTATGTTATTTTTTACCTTAAATTATATGTATTTGATGTTTTAAGTTTATCAAAATAGGTATTGTTTAGGGTCTGGGGATTGATTAACTTCTTTTCCATTATTTCTAAAGGGAAAAAATTCTTCAAACTTTGAATGAATTCTTGGAATGAATTAAATTTGAAGTATGAGGCATCACTATATTTTTAATTTCTAATTATGTATTTATAAAAACTTTGATATTTTCTTTTTTCGATTTATTTCTTAACATAAAAGATATTGAAAAAACAATGGAATATTTGGATTATTACATCCAGTTTTATAATGTTGCAAGAGAAGTTGAACCAATAATAAGAGATGGGTAAGATGTGTTTTAAAACTTTAATAAAAGTTTTCTGTAAATTGAGAAATTATAAAAAATTTTTGTTTAAATTTAGCCCTAGAGGATGCTTAACAACATATTTAGAAGCTATGGAAAAATTAGTGAAAGCCATTGAATTTTTTAAAAAGAACAATCCACATAAGCGACAATTGGAACAGCTGGTAAAAATATTTATTTTTCTTTCTTATGGGTTTTGCGTGGATTGTGTTTGAAGTTAATAAATATGTTTACTACTAAGTAGAATTACAATAAAAATTATAATGTATTAGTTTAAATATGTATAACTGAACAATAAGTATTTTTTTAGGATGCAAGCAATAAATTAAACAATTTTTGAAATAGAAATTTTATTTTTTAGTAAAAATACACTATAGATTTTTAATTTGTTCTCTTTACTTTTTTAGCTAAAATATCTTATTGTTTTTTGTTGATTGGCTATTCTATCAAATCACCATAAATGATAATAGATTCTATTAGATATGAAGCAAACAATAATAACTTAAAATACCTTAATTTATTTAAACTGTAATAGCATTTAAGCACTTTAAGAAGTTTAACAAAATAATATATTCTCTAGGAACTTTACTATTTAAACAATACAGTAAAACTTCTGTAACTCGAAGAAAATGAAGCACTTGGTAGGTCTCAATAGAATAGCATAGGGATTTGATGTCTCCAATTTCAATTTCTTAACTCAAATTTTCTCCAAGTCAAAGTTTTTCATGACCCACCAACACCAATTTATGCTACTTTTGACTTCTCTGACTCAAATTTTAATATTTATTCTATCCAAAGTGATGCTAATTATCAGATTTCCATGAAATTTTCAGACTGTTAATTGTATCTACTCTCCAATACAATACTCTCCAATTTTCAGACATTATTTTAGTGAGAGGTCCTCTCGCTTTATCTCAATAAGATGTATTTGCAAACTGTTTGATTCCATTAGCTACATTGAACATTTTGCTGAAAGGCATTACACGGGTTGCTTAAAACAAAAAAAAAAAGCTATCAAAGATTCTTATATAAAGCAAGAGAGATAAAAATACAGATCTATTTAGAATTGGCATTTTTTACTTTTGTTCTCTAACTTGAATTGCCTGTAACTAAAAGTTTTTTCCTGCCCCTTGTAGCTTTTAGTTAGAGAAGTTTTACTGTACTTTTACAATTATAAAATGCATTGAGTTAGAAATATTACTTTAATAATTTAAACATTATATTGTCAACTTGTTAATAATCTTGAGAAATCTTGTAATCAGTTTGGCTTTTATGTTTAATTACAGAAGAAATTGCATAGTTTTTCTTCAGAAATCAAATACTTTGTTTTTGCTCTTTTAGCCCTGTAGGCACTAAGAAGACCTTCTATTCCATATCCATTGTGGGTTCAGCTAGATCCACAATGGAAGCAATTGGGTAATGAAGGATGCGGATCAACATTTTTGGATAGACTGCCCATGAAAAATTGATGAGGTTGCTCACCAGGATTCATTTCCAGATCCTGAACATTAAATCTTAATTGCCTCAGCCATCCAGCTATTACTTTGAATATTTAAATATTTTAGAATTTAGAATGAAATACTTGGAAAAGATTTAACTAGGTTTTTCAAAATTAGCATAGAAGAAATTCATTAATTATTGATATAATATATGATAGTTAGTGTGTTCTCAGTGCAGTCAGAATGTATTACTTAATCACTAATCATTATGCAGGGAGATTTATCATCAGTTATTCTTATACAAGTTACAATAGTTATTAACTTATATAGATTTGTAGTTTTTCTAAAGAATTTTATTGAATAAACCATGTAGATAATTGCCAATTAAGCTGAAAATGTTTAAGTTACTGCATTTTAGTAAAAATATTCATTTATTACAAATGAGCTGACAAACATTTTTATTAAAATTTTTACACTGGAGTAAAAATATGATTTTTGTTTGACTTTATTATTTAGTTTATGAATTATGAATTAAGAAAATTTATATAGTTACATAGATATGAGTGAGTTATATATGTTTTATTCAAAAGTAATTTTTTTCTATTAATAGGAAGAAGAATTTAAAATAATTATATATATTTAATTTTTATGCTTATGTTTTTAAATTTATAACAGTTCATTGTTTATAAAGAAAAATAATAAAATTAGATGTCAAAAATAATAAAAAACAGTTAACTAATCAGTTTTTTTATTTTTTTATTTATTTTAGTGCAATAATATGCTATACATATATCACATTTCAATTGAAATTTTGTAATTAAATAATAATAAATTTATTAAGTTTTATTTTAAATAATTGGAATTTTTAATCTGAGGATTGATTGATAAGTAAGTTCTCTATTTTTATAAAATTAATATGGGAAGATAGATTAACAGCTTATCTATAAAAATATGTTATGGATTTACTTGAATAATGTGCTTGCAACAAGATTATATTGGTTCTATTAACATGCATAAAAATTAAAGATGTTTTGTAGTCAAAATTAACTTTTTAGGACCAATTTTAAAAGTAGGAAAAATAATTTATTTTAATCAATATGCATTCATTTTTTAACATAATCACCAGAATGACATGTAGTTCTAAATGTTCGATCTATTTTTGCATTCCATGCATGAAGAAATTCTCTGCTTTTCCATCAGTCCATACGACAGTTTGTTCTTCAGCATCCTACGAAAAGTATTGACCTTTTCATATCACCTTTAATTTTGAGAATAACCAAATTTCACAGTACCAAATGTGGATTTTAATGAAAGTATGGGAATAACCCATAACTTTGCATTTTTATTCTTTTCTTATTTCAGTACAGTCCTGTGCTATCATGGCACAACAAAATGATTGTTCTTTCTAGTCTTGCTATATAAATATGTCTCTTAGGTATTTTTAATGTTTTAAAATACTCTGAATTTTAATAAGCA